CATCTGGCATCACTTCCTGTACTGTTGCCTTCTTGCTCTCTGGTACAGTGTCTTGTACTGTCCCTCCTGACCTTCAGAATCTTGCTGTGGGCTGCTGCTGGGTCATCTCAGCAGCCCCCTCATGAGCACCTCAAGCTGGGATGAGCTGGATCCTGGACCACTGCTTACTATACAACATCATCCTTGTTGATGGCAGCACCATCTTGGATAAATGGCTTTGTCCATGACTTTAAAACGCTGTGGACACTATTTGGGGGAGGTAGCCACTCACTTGTGGCTTTGAGAACTCTTTGTTTCCCCCATTTGTTAAATAAACCCCATTGTTGTTCCCTGAGCCTGAATGGTCTTGCAGTTGTGGGTGTGAGTGAGAACCTTCAGAGAGAGGCCAGACTTCTATTGTGTACTGTTCTTTGACACCAAAGCCCCACCCTCATAGACCCAAACCCCATGTCCCCTGTCAGCTTTATTCTCAAAAGAGTACTTGCTCAAGTGTTCAAGCTGGGAATCAGTTAATTTTTACTCAAATCATGATCAAATTGTCAAACAGAAATTTTGACCATCTGTAGTAGATGTGTCAACAATAATGACTTTCCATCCTGGTTTGTTCCAGTAGCTTGTTAGTATCATGGTTTTTGATAAAAGAAATAAGTATTAATCTGTGTGTGTGTGTGTGTGTGTGTTTTCTGTTGAGCATTTGTGAAGCTGCCTCTGTAATGAGTTAAATTTATAGCTATAGATGCAGGTGTGTAAAAATGGAATTTTTATTTTTTATAATTAGAATTAGCTTAACTCTGAACTAATATACAGTGGGTAGTTCACCTTATTCTCGCCAATTTAAGAAATTCAATCTGTTTTGATTTACTGTTCTTTCTAGAGTGTTTTTTTTTCCTCTTTCGAAAAATATCCCTTTTACTTTAATCCTTTCCTTCTCAACTATGCAGATATCAGGAGAGGAAACAGTTGGTGGTTTATTATTCCTCAGTTAATGGATTATAAAAAACAACCTACTTCTTCAGACTGTGTCACTGATATATTTAAAATCCAGTTTGGGGATTTAAAAGACAATTTTCACTTCTCAGAAAAGTCTGGCTTTTACAAATAAAATGTGCTGTTACTTTTAGGTTCTTCAGGTTATGGATTTATAAAAGTCAGGTTATATGTCAAAAGCCAATAAACTTACTTTTTTGTCCTCATTGAAATTTGTTATCTACTTTCTCTGAGGCAAAATCTAGCTTTAATTACTGAAAAATTAACAATTATGAAAAAATTATAGAAAATAATTTTCATTCATTTCAAAATTGTGTGTTACTATTGCTGCAGTGACTGAAGGTGGAGTTAGCCAGAGAAGATCATAACAAATGAAGTATTTTTTTTAATGACATACTTTTTAGTATAAGATCAATTTCTTCATTGTCCCATTGATAACTGTTTTTAAACTTAATAGAAATTACCTTTGCATCTTAGGCTAGCTATAAAATGATGTATAGAATTTGCTAGAGGGTCAGCAATCTCTGTACTTAAAATAATGCACTTCAGGATTTGCAGTAAGAACAGCAGTATCTCCACCTTGCATCCAAATCATAAGTGAAATGGATGATGAAAGTATTACGACAAATCTTCATTCTATCCTTCAAATCACATACATTCTGAACATGCTCCTTCTATGAAACCATTTTCTTTTAAAGCTCACTTTTTAAAAGATGTGATGGTTGAATCCAAGTTCATGTACAGTTGAGAAAAAATAAATCAAGATAGAGATAATAGTAATTTTTGCTTTATCTAATAAGAAACCTTATTCCATCAGCAAAGATACATTGCTATTAGGTTTTATGTGAGATATTTGGCGTTCTCTTTCTTCCTAAGAGGTTTAGTATATATATATCCTAGATATTTGGAATAAAGCTATCATGAGGGCCTTTTTAGTTACTCAAATTTACCTGATACATGAATAACAAGTAATTGTTTTTAAGGAATTGGTTTAATTTTTATTTTTTGTGCATATGTGGGAGGTACCCAAGCTTTTATTTTTCTTTTTTTGGCACTCTATGTTTAGAATTCCATGCAAATAATTGTTGCTGGTGTTTGTGAAACATTCAGTAATGGAAAAGTGTCACAGTAGTGGAGTCCTGCAATCTCTCTTTCCTAATATGTTGGTGCTATATTCAGTCTTAATAACTCAAAAGGATCCGTGAGTGAATCATCTCTGAAATTCTCAACATAGCTCCTTCTGATCTGGTTATGTGCTTCTTTCCACCTTTTTCAGTTATCTTTTTTTTTTTTTTTATTTGTGTAAGTTCATGTCAGACTTGCATTTCCATATCTGACCTTACCTCTATACTTTTTGAACATGGTTCAACACCCCTGCTTCTGACTGTGTTAAACAATCTCAATCAACCACACAAATTTCTCTGAAACTTCTATACAAGAGAGAACCAGAAAATCTTGCTGATTTTATCCTCTATTTTAAATAATAAAAGGAATTGTTGGATCTGCATACTATTGTTCTCTTAAAGAGGTGAACATGTAATTCCTTGTTAGTATTATTTATATATGTGTATGTTTGTGTTATTTATATGCATTATACACATCATGTATATGATATATTTGTTATATTATTTATTTTCCTGTGTATAATTCACTAGGGGGATAAAAAAACACATCTGCGACCCCTATGATTTCACTTTTACATAAAAAGAATACAATTTATTAATCTTCTATTAATTACTTTTTTACATCTTTTATTTTTATAGGACTGAACAAAAAAACCTCTAACAATAAATGTCTTTAGTTATGCAGATTAAACATCCATCATATTCATGTATATATTGTGTTTGTTTAAACAAATTATCAACTTACTTGGGAAATAACAGCTTCTTAATTTGTCATTAAAGTACACATCTGTGGACTTTTTAAAAAACTGATGACTATGATGCCTCCACATTTAAACTTGTATTCAGTTCCAGGGGAAATATGATGGTGATTATACACATGTGCTTTCCATTGAGTTGGGACCTTGTCTTGATTTATTATAGTCTTTAATGACACATTCATAAATGAATGCTACAAATTAGGTTAAAACTCTAGTGAATTTAAAATGATTTTCAATGTTTAATCTTTTCTTCATGAAAATGACCTGATTGTCTCTGATATGGGTTAAATTAACTAAATTTAAGGGCATAGAGATGTGTCAATCTATGTTCATAAACCATGATTTAGAATTTAGATGAAATAATTTACTGTTTCCAATTGTGTCATATAAGAGGGCTTCTTTTATTCATTCAGAAAGCATTCTTGTTAACAGTTATCATGCATTGTTCTAGCTGTTATACCTCAAGGAATAAGATAAAGTTCTAGTATTTATCTATATTTCACAGTCTATTAGAGAAAATGTTTCATTAGTACATCGTTAAAACATGAAAAGACGATATAATGGAAACATAAATCATTTTATGGGAATCCTGAACAATGTTTTCTTGCTTATCTTGTTTTAAGTGAGAATGGGTTTGTTGAGGAAGAAGCATTTGACCAACATCTTGAAGCAGCAGGGGTTGAGCTAGCGACCAGAGGAGATTAACCCTCAAGGGTGGAATGTCTAATCTGCTCGCAGGAACACTCATGGAAGAACATGTTAGATAAGGGAAATAATAAAAATCATTAGGGCCCTGCAAAGATATAATAAGCATAAGGCCTAAGATGGTCATTAGACACCATATTTTCTTTAGTAGCTCAGATTTTCTGCTCTACAAGATAAGTGAAATTTGTAACTCAGTAAGTATTTTGGTTTCTAGACACCTACTCTTGGTAACTTACCTTCAGATATTCAACACAACAATAGTTACCATTATGACAATATGTTCTCTGAAGACTTACTTACATACTTTAAATATATATTTAATACACATATTTAATATTATCTATGAAAGGTGTGATCACGTGTTCAAGCCAGAAGTCATACACTAATTATTTTGATATTCTTTAATTTCTTATAAGTATTATTGTCAGGGCTTTTGATATTTCACATATTTCCTCTGGTCTTATTAGTTTGACCTGGAGATACTAACCAATTTATAGAAAAAGAAAACTGTTGTGTTATACTAACCACCTGATGTTGTCATTCTCTAATCAGTAAATGAGGAGGAAGAAAAGGATAAACTCTTTGAACTTGGCAGCTTTCTCTGGAATCCATTTGTTTCAGTATTTTTTTTTTAAAGATTTATTTATTTGTGCATACAGAACTGGGGTACAGTCCAGAGGCTCAGGGGCAGTGAGAGGCTTCACCAGAGACAGAGTGTGGAGCAGAACAGGCAGATCGACGAAGTACACTGCTGAGGGGAACAGCGGGCGGGTCAGGAGAGGTCTGCCGCCCCATTTGGTCACCTCCGGGACAGGCGGGAATCGAGCTCATGCGGAAGTGGCTTTAGTTTCTCAGGGCTGTGCTTTAACCTGCTGCGCCACCAGGGAGGGCCTGTTTCAGTATTTTTAAAGACACTGTGTGTGTGTGTGTGTGTATGTGTTTAGTTTATGTTTGTGTTCACAGACAGACCTAGTAAAGTTGCTTCTTTACAGTATAAAAAATACATATTTTCCACTATTTACTAATTTATAAGATGTTTGTCATTTTTTAAATTTCATTGTACGTCAATGAACATTATTTAAAGTTTCAGTATTATATATGCTTATTTTTGTTCTAATGTAGACACTTTCCTTAAGTTCCACCTCTGTGCCACTCAAATTTAAAAACTAATCTATTGGGACTAAAACATAAAATAATATGAGATCTGTAAAAATTGCTGGTAAAACTATTGAATTCTGTGCTTCACAAAATTTTGCTGTTAAAGACATACACAGATACATGTGTGCATTTGTCCTAAATTGTCAATGTCCATACCCAATATCACTGTGTAGTACATCCCAGCATAGGTTAGAAGTTAACACTTAATATGCTATATTTGTGTGATTACAAAAAAGCCACACCACTAATGTGATCTGTTTGCTTACAGAAAGCCATATCCTAGAAGATGTCAACAAATGTATCATTGCCTTGAGAGACCAGGATGCTGATAACTTAGACCGTGCTGCAGGCGCCATCCGAGGCCGAGCCGCAAGAGTCGCTCACATTGTCACAGGTGAAATGGACAGTTACGAACCTGGCGCTTACACTGAAGGTGTAATGAGAAATGTTAACTTCCTTACAATTACTGGTAAGTCTCAGTGCCCAATAGCACTTGCTGTACTCCTGGTGTTTGAATTTACATAACTAACAAATAGTCATCTTTGGGGAAAGATCCTGACCTGTGTTGTTTGAAATAGAGTGTTCTTTCTACTCTGTGCTTGGTGCTTGCATCCTTTCTTTATGTGATGAAATTTTTCTCTAAGAAGTAACTGTATCCATTGGGGAAAAAGAGGTGTTTTTTTTTTAATAAATATATGCGTTATATAAATTACCCAAGGGCTGTAGCTACTTAGGATTGTTTATTAAGGCCAGTGCTGTTAGGAGCTGTAATTAGGCCAGATGCGATAGTATATAATAGTTTTAAAAACTACTTGAGCTCTATCTTTGGCAGCCTTAGGTTTTTATTTAAATTACCTAAACAGAACAGACTTGCACTTTGTTTCCAGAGAAATGCTCTCTACTTTCTTTTGTAGCTTACTTGAAACCAACATTTTGTTCTTGCACATTATCTTTGAGTTCTTTAAATATACGAAGCCAGGATTTTGTTTTGATTGTAGTACCCAAGTTAATACTTTCTGAAATCAGCGAGTGTCTGCTTAGTTTTTGAATCACTTAACAAAATTGTACTCTTAATTTTAATACTACTATTAACATTTTTCCAAGGAACTTTGCTTTTGAATTCATTTGATTTGCAAAGTGGATTTACATTTAATGAGGGCAACCAACTATTTTTATAAGGCCTAATGATAGGAAACCATTGTGCTCTGTGAGGTCCTTAAGTTGAATTTTTCTTATTAAAAATCTCTTTTTTGACAGTAGGGCAAAGATATAGTCATGCTCATAAAATATTTGCAATTTCTTACTTAAAGCATCGACCTTAAAGATTTGTTCTTTGTACTGTGCATAGGGCATATTACATTTAGGTGGTATGTACACTATTTTGGTATGTACACTATTTTGTTAAAGGGTAGAAAAGATGAGGATGAATGTATTTTTTGGGGGAGGGAATGGCTCCTTTATTAAGAAACATTAACACGTTGACAACCTTTACTAGGGACTAGTTCTGAAGAGCTAAACTTCAGATAAGTTTTTCAGAGTTTATGGAGACTTACTAATGCGTGTCATTGTTGTCCTGGTATATTTATACAGAATACCCTTGATAAATCCTAGAAAATAGTTTCCAACACTGAAGGACACATGAAGGAAAGATAGAGAAAGTATATCTGAAACTCCTGACATTAAACTTCTATTTCCATATCCATTCATCCCAAGCTGTTGATGTCACCAAAAAGGGCACATGATATTTGCTTTATCAATTAAATGCAATGATATATGTACTTTTTTAAGAAGATGACTGTGTTACAGTAATTCAATATCTTTTCCTGTTCAGTTTAAATATTCCTTTCTTGTTGGACAAGAGCAAGTACAGCATTATCTGATTGTATCCAGCCTTTGCATATAGAAGTATTTGTAAATAAGATGAGATTGTGTCAGGGGTCCTCATTTTAGATAATAAAAACTTTCTGGAAGAAATTGAAGCATTAAATTACCTAGAACTTTTCCTATATTTTGTCTCAGTCTCAGTACTTCAATATTGGTAACATCTTGAGAAGCATTCTTGTGGTCACAATGTGTTTTCATTCTCCATAGGGTAGAATCTATATCCACCACATGGAATGTATAAATGAAGTTCTGAAGTGTTCAGAATGTGCAGTGTGTTGTGTGACTACATTGTTCTTCATCAGTTCTTTTAATTTGATATAGAAATAAAAAAATAATCAAGTTACTTAACACTTGATTGTTACTTAACAATTATTTAATTGCCAACTTGCTAATACCGCTGATTTTAATTAGTTTATAAGATAACTAGGCAATATAGTTAGATGTCATTCAATTAGAAGAAAAAGATGCTCTTTTACTACAATACATTTTATAGAACTGCAATTAAAATTTTCTAATTATGTCCTGTACCCTGAATAGAATAAATATAAAATAATTCTTTATTATTTTGTTTTAAGTAGAATATTATTGTAAAACATACTTTAATGACTTCAATTTTATCATTTTATTTTTCCAATTAGTTTCTTGGCTTATCTTTGAAGAAGGCTACTTATTTTTGTTTTATATCTCTCACTTAAAACATTTCTCCAAATAACTTTCCTTGAAATATATCAAAAGCATGTCTTACTAAAGTGAATTCTAAACAATAAATTAGATGATAAATCTATTTATATCAGTTTGATCTTAACCAAAACATGAGCATATCTATGAAAAATATTCCTAGGTATTTTATGTTCCTCAAATAAGTAACAGAAAATGTTCATCTTTTTTCATATCTGCCATAACTTGGATTTATTTACAAATATTCATCAAATAATTAATTGGATATACCATATTCTGTGTTATGAGGCTGAATAGTTCACACTTAACACGTGAATGGACTGTGTATATGTGTCCTTCTTCCCTCTCTCCCTCCTTACACCCCTCCCTTCCTAATGCCTTCCTTTCTTTTATATCATCCTCAGTTTGCTTGACTCTGCTTTCTGAAAACTTCTTAATAAGGAGATAAATTATTTCTATTACTGAAGCTTCCTTGTCTTTGCAAAATTTTTCTGAAAGTATCCTCATCAATGATGAAAACTAAGCCATACTTATCTAAATCACCAAGTGTGCTTTAAGAACACTGAATTGATTTTAATCAGACTTTGCTACTCATTAGTGCATTTTTAAGATTTGATGATCTCCAAAGTGTTTCTCGGTTTTAGGAAGCAGGATTGTCCTGTTACATCTTGGGAGTTTTTGTTGTTCATAAATCCCAGCAGTTGGTTTTAAGTGAAATGTAGGTGACATCTGGAAAGTTGCATTTCATTCAGACAGGATCATAATATTGTAATTTCCATGTGAAATTCATTAGTCTACCCAATTCTTCATCATTAGTAAACACTGTCAGGAATTCCTGACACAGGAGATAAATGTATTGTTTTTTTTTTTTTTTTTCCCAAATAATGAACTTTCTCGATTACACTGTGATGGTTCAGAAGTCATGAATATGACTTTTTGACTATTATGACTATTGTCAACCATTCCTACAATGTTGGGAATAAAACCCCAGAACAGGCAGGTGGATAAATCTGTCCATGAGGTCCTGGTGACATCCGCCACTGCTAACTGATGGTGATGGCAGACGAAGAGTTATCCGTCAAGTACACATTCAGGTGCAGAACTGGAAAATCTGTGCCCAGACTTTTCTCCCTATTAGATTGGAAAAGAACCATATAGCTGTAATTCTTCTCCTAAAAACAAATGAGATAACTGAAAATAATTTAGAGTCAATGAATATTTCCAAGATGAATTTCATCTAAAAATCATTTAAATTTTTTTAATAACAGTCTCTCCTATCAATTCCTTTTTATTTCATTTTTGCACCTATATCTGTATTTGATAGCCTGATTAAAATGTGCTACTCTCCTTATGTTGTGCCTGTTTTATAATCATACTCAGTTGAAATACAAATGCTTTAGTTCTAGTAGCCTTGGCCTTTTACATTCCAGAAGAGGTTGAAAATTAGTGGTCCATATAATAGGCCAAACTCAATAGGACTCAATGAATTTTTATGTTTCTATTAGAGTTATAACCAACTTGACTTTTTGCCTTAAGAATATTTCTAGTCCTCAACCACCCAGATTAATGGCATATCTAAGTGACTGGCACTTATTGGTGTTCTTTTTGCTGAGTCTGGGTCATAGTTTCCACCTTAGCCCACCATCCTCCACTCACTCACATTTCAAGCCCAGTCTTTTCCTCCCACTTAGTTTGCCAAGTTTTGCAGCCATTGAAGTTCACCCAAACATGCATATCTGATTTTTTTCTTGTGTTTGGTCAAAAGGCAAAAAGGCACCATTTTTTCTTGTGTTTGGCCAAAAGGCAAAAAGGTACCATTCTTCCATCTAAGTTGATATTTTCACAGGCAAGTGAATATGCCAGGGTTATTATTGACTTGAGGCCTGGTAATTCCATTTGGAATATCTTTACCCTTCTTCTTTCACATTGAATTGTATCTGTCTTTTAAGAAATAGTCCATATCACATGTCCTTTTGAAACCTTTCATTACTTTCTTTGGCAATAATGACTTCTTTGCCTTACATACTATAGATTCAAAGGATCTGCCACTCAGTTATATCATTCCCAACAACTGTGTGCTACTGTGTAAATCTTCAAGTATATACTGAAATAGAAATGTCTTCAATCAAAAGCAGTATATAAGCTACAGGAGAAAAGGATACTCATCTCATTTATCTTTCTATTTCTCCCAGAATCAAACAACTTTTGAAGCAAGCCTCTATGCCTTTGCTAATTCTATTCCAGCACTGAAATGACTTTTCTTTTCTACTGCTCCTCTCAGTTATATTCTTTAGCACTTCTGGAATGCTGTCCTCTTTGAAAAGGAACTTCCTTTACAGTTAGAACTATTGCTCCATTATCTGTAATAGCATGATAAGCTTGTTATCACTTACTTAACTTTACCTTTTATCACAGTCAGCCATATACATACACATTTCTACCACTAGACTATAATGTGCCTAAAGTCAGACCCCCCACTAGTAATTTCTCACACATAGTAAAGATGCCTGTCTTTTCCCAACTTTAAATCTAAAATTCATTACTATAAAATTCTATGACACTTTCTATTACAGTTAAGCAAAAGAATACTTTATAATCTCAGCTGGGGGGGGGGGAGTAACTCAAAAGAAGTGGGCTTTGTTAAAGCCTGGGGCAAAGAAAAGATCAGGGAAGTGATTCATTACTGTCCAAAGTTAGATATTAGCCACTTCCAGAAAACTTGGGTCAGATTTTTAAAAGGTTCTTCAGCAAGCTTTTGAACAAGAGATCATGACTTTTGTGTATTCAATTACTTACAAGAAACATCATGAACTTCATCTGTTGAAAGAACTCACTGAACTTAATTTCACTAATGGTTCCAGCAAATCCCTATAAGGGATACCCACCATGCTTTCAAATACAGAAACC